ACAAAAATCTTTGATAATAGATTTTTATATGATACCATATATAGTTTTGATTTATATAGTGCATCGCACACCCCAGCTTATCGTTAGTAAAGGTGCCATTGATGAACATGTGGTAATTTATGTTAATACCTTTTATAACATCATATCTAATTATATTTTAATAACTCAAATGCGTCATAATCATAGTGTCATGCTATCCATCGATCTTTTAGCTGAAGAGTTTCGCTATGCTCTTGTCTGTGTAATTTTTTAATCTATGGTTTGGTTTAAAAAGCCCATTTCTTTGTAATATTAAATGTTAACCATTAGGGTACATCCACAAAACATAACCCTCAAAGGATTGGGTTGTCACATGTCATGGAATATGAAGATGTTATTCAAGGTATTTTTGTTCGTAGTTATTTTTTTTTGAAATTAATTGTTCTAATCCAATTCAATTATCATGCATATTTTTAGTCGTGAAAAAGAAATAGACAGTATTAGTTATTGATAGTTAATCTTGCTGCTGTAAATAGTATTGAATTGTTGCCAGTGGATATTATTTTTAGTTGTATTTATTGAAAGGTATTGATAATTCATGTAATATTTTTATCAATAAAACTTTGCAAATTTTGAATTTAAGAAACTAGATTTACTTTTTTGCTGTTACAAGATTTTTTTTAAATAGGCTCTTTGCATTACCATAAGTTCCAAGTCTGAAAGAGTTGAATAAAAATAAAGGAATTAGTAGTAGGATCTTGTAAACGAAAACAGTAACTCAAAGACCTATATTTAGCTTCGATAAACTAGCAATCTCATATTCGTTTGCCTCAAAAAGAAATTCGACTGTACACACTAATTCTGAACTCTTATAATAGTCCCAGAGGGAGACATGCAAAAATCCCGATGTTCACAGTCCCGATGGTACATAATCCCGGCAGACAAAATCCCGAAATACTAGAATCTTGAAATGCTAAAATCCCGAAGATACAAAATCCAACAGTCCAAAATCTCGAAAGTACAAAATTCTGATAATGAAACATTATAAATTTTAAATGCAAAAATGCAAAAATGCAAAATATTAAGGTTGGTAGTCGGGATTTTGGTTTTTCGAGATTTTGAATTTTCTGAATTTTGTATTTTCTGGATTTTAGTATTTCAAAATTTAAGCATTTCGGGAATTTGTCTGTCAGGATTATATATCATCGGGATTGTGTGCATCGTATTTCGTACCAAACCTGTTACCAGAAAAGCCCCGTTGATAACAAAAAAGGAAAAAATAAACGAATAAGCAGTAAAAAATAAATAATATAAAACGAAGAATAAAAATAAAAATAAAAACCAAAGAAGAAAATTATATTTATCTGGCACTGAATCTGAAAGTAACAACATAATAGAGAACAAAAAGCGTTAAAAACCAGCCAAGTTCAAGAAATTGCCAAAGAAAGCGCCAGGAAAAACCCTTACCTATGGTCCGGTACTGACGAGAAATCTAAATTGCCTAGTGATTCTAAACAATGTATTTTTTGAAGTTCTCTTCTACATTTGAAGCTCAAGAAGGATCTTGAAACCCGGATGCAATAAAGTTAGTACTGGATCATAAATAAAAAATAAAAAGTGATTCTAATCTGGAAAGCCAAGAATCGCTATAGTCAACGAACAAAGCCAGAATAATTCAGATCCATAAACGAAACTTCCCGAAGCCTTAGAAGGCATACAAGTCACAGAATCATAAAAGATCTTACGGTAAGGTCCAAGCTTGATGCGTCTAAAGTATGAAAAGATTTGTGCCGTAAACTGCCATATAAAAGATCTAGGTCTCTTATATTCCACCAATTTAATATCTATAGTAGAGAGCTTATAATGTAAAAATTTGACATGCAAACACACTTTGTGTTTATGACGGGCAATCTAAACTTTTGAAGGAAACAGCATTTGGTTAAAGATCCTGTGATTTACACCCGGGTCTACCTTTTGGGTATTATAAAATTATAATCGATTGCTTTTTTATTTTTTTGTTTATTATATTGTAGTTGTAAATTATTTTTTTTAGTTTTTGTTTCTTTTATATATAGTATATTAAGTAATATAAATATTGCATTATAAGTATATCCTTTTATAACAACTTCTTGTAATGAATTTTTTTAACACTCTAAAGCTTAAAATGATGCCGCAAAATTCTGTAGAATTTTCATTTCCAACTAAGCTAAACTGCCTAAGTTGTTTTCGTATTGAAATAATACAAATAAGAGCATCAAATAATTGCAGCTCATAATTAGAATGAAATTTAAAATTCAAACTACTTTGTTGCATAAGCTCTTACTAATATTAAAAAAAAAAATTTAGTAAGATAAACTCTGTAAGCAATTCAAATGCATCTAGTTAGCCAGAAGCTTACTTTTTTAAGAAACAATTTCTATAAGACAACTCACACCCGACGATAATCAAATTGACTGGCGTAGCCGTTTCCAGGGCTCATGTTCCCTGAATGTGAATATGTCTTATGATACTATAAGTGAAACCCAAAACCTCCTTCAGAATTGGTATCCTTATAATAGCCAAAGGCAACATGTTTCTGAAAAAATAGCGAATCTGGCCAGTAAATTACTTACTTTTTTCTTGCAGATATAATCTCAGATATGACACTTGCTAAATAGTAAAAACGCGGTTCTAATAGACCTTCGTTCGGGAGACTTTCGCTCGGGAGACTTTCGCTCGGGGACCTTCGTTCGGGTGAGCTTCATTCAGGGAAGCTTCATTCGGGGAACCTTCGTTTGAGGATTCTTCGTCAGGGAACCTCCATCAGAGGTTTCTGGAAAGTTGTCTAGTTTTCTGCTTCGTGAAGTGTCTTTGTTTGTCTTAAGTTCGCTCGTAGCATCATTCAAAAATCTGCTATATCAAAAAAAGAATAAAAAAGCTATATAAAGATTATTTTGACTTTAATAAAAAGAAATAAATTTTTATTGATTTTTTTTATTACCTTTATAATTAAAATAATGCCAAATTTTCGGCTGGTTTGTCGATAAAAACACCAATCGTTTGATATATTGATCATGATTGTCATGATTGCCAACCATTTAAATCGATTAATTAACGTTAAACTACACTAGGGGGTCGTCATAAATGACAGGACATATGATAAGACACAGATGCTGTAAGTGAAACCATTATCTGGATTTCAAGTCTCATTGACAATACGGACAATACGTAAGTTATAAGAAAATGACCATATAGATTGGATATGTTTGCTAAGAACCAAACTTTATGCGCTATTTTAGAGAGTGGAATCGGTGAATAATTATTCGAACATCGATCGAAAATTTGAACATCGAAATAAACTTCATTCATTGAGTTTTTAACTCATTCAATCATCGAGCATCAGTCAAATTAAAATTTAACTATAAGTTTTGATAGTTTGATTGATTAATAAATAACAATTTCATAAATTTTATTTCATAGATTTTTTCAAATTGACATTATTAAAAAACTCAATTGGACCCAAAATGCAAAAGATTACATGTTTTATCGACTGATGAGCGAAATCAAGTTGAAGAAACTTTACGTGCTATGTATCGGTATGCAGAATTTAAGAAGCGGCACTATTTATCTAAACAGTTACTTCAAATTGGTTTAAATTGGTTTCTGTAACTAATCGAAATGAAAAACGTTCCTGCATCTGGAAACGCTTGGTGTGTTATTGCAGGAATTGCAAGAAATTTTCGGGTCATTTCACTTAAAATCGGAAATTGCCGTTTTTGTAAAGACCACCATACCATAGGATCTCCCTCGAAATCAAGCTCAGGAAGAACAAGATAATTTGTAACTTTGTTATTATCTTGGTTTGTGATCTTGATGAAAAAACTGATTTAATGAACCCTTTGCGGTTAACTTACGTTATTAAAAGCCAAAGTTATTTGGCAGAATTGTATTTCTAAAGTGTAATATGAAAACAAATGATTTTACTATTCCTAATGCCTAGGATTAATGCATGGTTGTTTTTATAATATAAATCGCAAATTATAAATCATGTAAATGCATATTAAATAATGTAGCGGTAATAGTACTTTAATGCGCAAATTATAAGTCATGTGAATTGTATGTAGCGATAATAGTACAAGTTGTTTTTGTAATGTCGCAATTGTAATTAAGTAATGTAGAGATAATGGTATAATTGATAAATTTCATGTTATATTAAATTCTTTTATGTATTTTTAAAAACATTCGAACATCGGTCAAAATTTTTTACCGATGCTCGAAAATCTAGAATTTGTGACTAATCAATACTCGAAACTCATCGATTCCAATCTCTACGCTATTTACTAATCCCCACACTTTCTATTAAGATTAATTTCACAACCTTTTTTAAATGCAACATTTCGGTTGGGTTGGTGATAGGTTTAGTGGGTAAAGTTATACCAAAATTTTGTAAGGAGTTTTTTTTTTTTTTTTTTTAATACATGAAGGAGATTAACGTGATTTTTCTGCTTTGCTAATTTTATCTTCATGAATAATGCTGATTGGCTATAATCGGAAAGTGTGAAGAAAATTAGTAAATGCTGGATTGCATAATGATATTTCGAAATACCGATAATTAATAGTAGACGATTTAAACTAGCAAATGCCAGACGGTGGTTTTTCTAGTCCATTCCCCATTTAAGCTTTGGTAGTATCGATATTAAATTGATCAATTTGTTACGTGACAACCAGCAAACTGGATCACCAGGGTTATTCTTAGATTAGGCGACCCCAATTTAATTCGGTGGTTTACATTACCCCCCCCCCCTCCTTCATAATAAAGGTTTTTTAATTTTAAGTATACTTCTGAGAATGCGAAAAAATGAATAAAAATTATGTACTTACTGCAGATCTT